ATTAATAAAACAAGAAATTTCCAAAGATGGTATCCTGAAAATTAGTATTTTGATTTTTAGAATCCTGTCTATTTTTTCACCTTCTTAAGAAAAAGATTGTTTATTAACCTTGACACGTCTTGTAACATAAAAACCGTATTGGTTTTCTTTACCTTTTATGGACATCTTCATCAACTGTGAACGGCAATACAAATCCTTCTTCATCTAATTTAATTTCCACATCTGGTGAGAGAAGAAAGGAAAAATTCTTCGTGTGATACCCTCACAAACACTATCTTCCTGCATTCCTTTGTTGTTGTGATCTCTTCCACATTGCATTTATCAATTGGGCTGAAGGCTGCAAAGTAATGATCGCAACCAAACAACAATAAGAATTTTAATTTATTTGGCTTCATGAACAACCAAGTCAGCGTTCAATTAAGAAGGCTCAACTACACTAAAACAAAGAGTCGGTTCTCATGTTATCGGGGGTACGACAAGAACCACACTTGCTTTCGGTTTCTCCTTACAAGAGGCAGGGCTCCTTCAATCAAGAAAGTGAAGAAAACCGCTAAGCTAAGCAAAGTTAAGACCCTATGCAAGTCAAAACTTCCATGGCTCTGGCACGCAGTGCCTCTGCGCTAAGTGAAGCATCCTGCATCCCAGCACGCGGTCCGTGAGCACGGACAGACTCCCCTTTCCTTCCCCTTAGGTATGCCAATAATCCCTTTTATAAAATGAGCTGGAAAAAGCAGAGGACTGACATGTGATCATTTGAGGCCTATGAACAGCTGACCTTTATGAGATGCTTTTCTTTTACTCTTCAATTTAGAAAAATTGTAAAGGGCAGAAGGACCCGGACCTCTAGTCAGTGCTGTCCAGTAGAAATTTCTGTGACATGGAGATGTTTGTACCTGAGCTGCCCCAGTAGCCATGAGCCACATGTGCTACTGAACACTTGAAATGTGACTGAGGAATTGAATTTTTTCAACATTAATTTAAATTTATGTACTAGTATAATTTAAAATTATGTACTAGCAGCTACTATATTTGGACAGTGCAGGCTTAGATTATAATAGCGGCTAATAATTATTGAGCATTTACTATGTTCCAGGTATTAGTATTTCAGTCCGTTCTTAAGTCTTTGAGGTCAATATTCAGCTCATTTTACAGATGAGGAAGCAAGCAGAAAAGGTTAACTATTCTGCCCAGGACATTCTGTTACTATATGGCTAATATGTGAGACTCAAACTCGGTCTTAACTCTACAGCTATACTGCTAACCACTGTTTCAACTTGCGTTCAGGGGAGGAATTATTCCATTTTGTCTTTCCAGAGACCTTCTGTTGCTACTAAGTTCCACATTATCTCCAAAAGAGGACAGGACACTTTTTTTTTTTTTGAGACAGAGTCTCACTCTTTTTGCCCAGGCTAGAGTGCCGTGGAGTCAGCCTAGCTCACAGCA